AGAATATTCTGAGTAGAGGAAATGATGTTGAGGTGTTGTTTTTGCTTGACGAAATTTACGAAAGACTTTCAAAACTGAACGAAACGTATGCGACACAAGAGCATCAATTTCAATGTCCCTCAGTTGAAATTCCATATTTACATTTGAAATGGAACGAACCATTTATGATGAGTTTTTCTACCAGGATTGATGATAAAGACATTGTTAACATGAAAGAGGCCCTTAAAATAACGACAAAAACGTGTGAACCGAAACGTCCCTCGGTACAAAATTCATCAAGTAACTTGTCTGAACAAAAACAAAATTCAAAAAGTCTACCAAATCTTACTCTTAAAGAGAAACCTCATGAGACTTTTAGGCTCCAGTTCAATAAAAATCTTTATCTAGATGACGTCAGCGATTTGCGCACCCCCGTGTTTACCAGTGTTGCATGGACGGCCGATGGTCGTATAGCGGCAATAGACAGAGAAAACAACAAAATCAAAATTTTAACACACGACACTGAAGTACATGCAGTTAAATCAATAAAGGTACCAGGTGCATGTGTGATTTCCTCATATCGAATGGGATTTGCTTGTCTCGCTGGTTCAAGGTTGCTTATTTTCGATCAAAACTTTAATGAATTGAACAGATTTGAAGGAATTTCAACGATAATCACACAACATCCAGAATGCGATACACTAGCGTGGATGTCAAAGAAAAAGGTTTTTATCAAAACCTGTGACAGGATCGATGAACGGGAAATATTAAACGACCAAGGGAAAAAATTCTCCTTCGGCAAACCGGTGTATGCCAGCCGTCTTCCGAACAAAACACTGATCGTGTCCGACTGGATAAAAGACCGTGTGTACCTGCTTGACCAAGACTGCAAGATTTTCAAGAGAATTAATGCCTACCCAGGATCAATTGCTTTTGATACTGAAAATAACATTTTTATATCTGAATACTTTGATGGGAGTCTTTCAATATTTGACAGCAAAGGGATTAATAAATCCTTTATCAAAATTGACAAATGGCAGACTAAACCAAGAAGCATTGCTATTTTCAAAGATGCTCTACTTATCGCAAGTTCAAACAAAGTCAATATGTATAATTTGTTGTCTTAAATGATTTAATGACCATATCTTAAAATAGACTAGTGTATTCAAAGATGTCCCATATTATTTAACGTAGAAATAAAATTATTGATTAAAATGTTTACATGTCCATGTACATACAGTATCGAATTTTTTTTCTTCATAGAAAAGAATTCAAATAAAGTAATAATTGGGATTTTATTTAATGATCACAACAATAAAAATAATTTTGAATTTCTATACGTAAACTCTATTCCTAAACTTCATAACAATTTGTAGAAAGAAAGATCCATTGCGGGTTCTAATAAATGTTTTAAAGCCTTTCGTATATCCTCACTAAAATATTAACAGCAGAATAACTTCGGAAATACTGATTAACTAAATTTTTGAGAAATGTAAATCGGTTGTGAATATTCAAAAATCCTGATCATTCACATTTAAAATCAAAGTTCTTTCAATTTTTTTCTCAATATTTATAATTTTAAAATGTATGACTTTTTAACACATTACACAATTAGAATTATCAGAAGCCCTTTAAAATGAACTAGCAAATCAACTTTTCTTGGCATTAGTCAGTGGCAAATTTATTTTGCTAAGCCATTCTCCTTTCAAAGACACACACAAAAAATCAAAATTAATATTAAAAATATCTTGAGTTTCTAACTAACAATTTCTGTGTAGTTTTTGGACTAGATCTTTGCATACAAGTAATTTGTTCGAATTCTAATGAATATTAATTTTGGTCATACCATGAATGATTGTATTTAAACTGATTTTTCAAAATTTTTCATAAACTTGTAAAGATGGTTGATGACAAAGTATGATTGCATACCATTGATATTCAGAGTCATTACATTACATGTAGGGATAGGCAAATATGAAGAGACCTGGGATAAAATCTTCATTCTTGTGTTTACAGAAAAATGTGTAGACGATGGGTAATACCGGATCATCTTTTGAATATTAATGGGGTTTTTTGTTCTCTCTCTTCTGAATCGCTTTAAAAAAAGTGGGTCTGCTGGTAGTAGGAATTTCTTTCCTAGAAAATTTCACACACTTATTGACAGGATCAAACAAGTTCAGGAGTAAATGTAACGGATATTTTAAAAAATGATCGTTTTCAAATGATGGATTTAAAAATGTTTTAGTCAGTCAATGAGGAGGGGGCAAATAAACAATTTTTAAAGATGACCCAGGATAAATTTCTTGCTCTTACCTGCTTGTCCTCAGTTTAACGGAATATAAGCACTTTGATATAATTATTTGTTTCACAGCTGTTTTCATGAGAAGGCAAGAAAAAAGATGTATCAGTATCTAGCTATGGTATTTATTAAATTAACATTCAAAATTATTTAGTATAAAAACATTCTGATTGTACTTACAAGTACTCTGAAGTTAATATTCGAAAGATGCTTGATCATGAGTTTCTGATTGACAGTGGGGTTTTTGGAGACCAGGTCTTCCAACAATCTATGAGAATTCCCCATTGGTACCAACTGCGCACCCTTACAAACAGACCTACGTTTGTATTCATATGTAGCAGGATTTGTCCAAAAGAAACACTTGCTGTGCCTCGACATTTAGATATATCGACGACGTTTTGTCAATTAAGAATGGTTAAAACATATAATGTGAGGTTGATGTAACAGGACTTCATGAATCCTTTTATATATTTAAAAAGCTATTTTAAATATACTCTAGATTTACAGTGGACAGGCGTGTATGTATCGTTAAATATTTAGCACTAAATGTGCTTCTAATTTAATAATTTGGAAATTAAATACATTCACTGCAAACCCAGGGCTATTTAAATGTCTTTGTTAAAGACACCATTATTCGTTTTTCAATTTGAAAAATATCTTATTCTTACCTCTTAAAAGCAGAAACATTTGTTGTTGATTAAATTTCGTTTATTCTGATGTCAATGATTTATACATGTATTGTGTAAACTTAATTGCTAAACAACTATAATCAACGAGTACAAAACCTTTTTAGATGACAAATCAGAGGAAGTTTACCCCCACCAGAATCTGTGCTCATACAATTGATTATTTGATAATTTTTTTTAACTAATTCAGTTGTAAGGATCATCACTCCACATAAACTGTTGATATATAATCATTTATCTAGCATAGATATGTGTCAATGTGTCAAAGTCTAATTTAGTTAACGCTACATCAGGTGATAGTCACAAGGTTGGAAAATGACTGCGTTATAACATAAAAAAGGTATTTTATTATTTTTATAAACAATCGTTAATTGATATTTGATTAATACAGTCAAAAAATTTCAGTTCTTGTGAAGTTCACTTTATAATAAAATAACATTTGTTCAAGGAGAGCGTTGATTTTAAAAATACTGTAAAATCACATATTTTCAAGGGGCCAAAATTTTGTGGTTTGAGGAATTATATCTATGTTCCTTTGTTATTAATGCAAGACCGAGGCCAAGTCAACTGAGCTAGTTTTTTGATGGATTTCAAGAAAATAACAACAGTAATGAAAGTGAAAAAAAATGTCATTTATTGAAGTAAATCACGCAAAACAAAAATTAAACATATTAAGGGGGTCAGACAAGACTAGTAAAAACTTCGAAAGAACAAAAAATCTTTGGTATCATATTATGCAATCTGATCCCTTAAAATTAAATATAGCATAAAGCCGGCACTGGTATGCCTGCCATCAAAAAAGGGTGAGATAAAAGAAAATAAACGCCAAACAAACAAGTATGAACACTAAAACATATACATGTATAACAATGTTGATATTTGCATATCTTGGTATTTTGTTTTTAATATTATACAAGAGAAATTAGTCTTATTTTTCTTTTCATGAATAACTGATTTGTATTTATCATTTCTACAGTTTTAGATTTCATTGAATGACTTTAAAAAAAAAACATTTATATGATTTATTGAAGTTTGGCATCTTTTTTTTTCTGAAAAAGAGAACTACTTAGTAGGAATTGATTTTAATATATACCTACAATGTAGTAATAAGCTGTTCCCTTACTCACACCAGCTATGGAAAGACCAAACGATATCTTTATTATAAAATAAGAATACTTTGATCCTTCCCTATTCTCTCTCTGTTACTTACTTTCTCACTTTTTCAAACAATATGAGCCTTGACTTTAACTGCTAGAAACTAAACAAATTGCTCATAAAGTATTCGTAAATATCTCTTTAAAGGGAATGTATATTAAAATAATTTCATTTAGCCGAAAGTTATTGCTAACATATCATTCAAGTTCATACGTTATTATGTTAATTCTTTTCATAATTTAGTCATATTGTTTGTCATACAACTTCATATTCAGACATCTATAATCTTTTCAGTAGATGAACATGGAATCACTTTCATCTACCCTAAAAGATGATTTCCTGACATGCATGATTTGCTACGAAGTCTTCACTGAACCAAAAACTTTACCATGTTTGCATTCTTTCTGTAAATCATGCATTTTGCGATATACATGTAATAAGGAAAAGGAATCAGAACTATCCAATATTTGTAGCTGTCCAATGTGCAGAGAATCATTTTCGATAAAGCTGGAAGAAATAAAGACAAATTTTTGTCTAGTGAATATGATTGAACTAATTAAAAATTCAACAGGGTCATCTGAATTCTGCTCATTTTGTCTTTTAATGGAGGAGAAGCGTCCAGCTGTTTCGCAGTGTTTAACCTGTCTTGATTATTTATGCAACGAATGTGGAAAAATGAGGCATGCCTTTACTCGACAAACAAGAGACCATAAAGTTGTTTCTATGAAGGACATCAAAACTGGAAAGTTTGAAAAAGAAATAAGATTAGCACAAAAAGAGCGTTGTTCAAAGCATGCAGATGAAATTTTAGCTTTCTTCTGCATGTCATGTCAACTGCCTGTTTGTCGGGATTGTTTAATATATGAACATAGGGAACACAAATTCAAACCAATTTCTGAACTTCGAAAAGCAAAAGAGCTTGAAATCAATGAAGTTATTAATCCTCTTAAGAAAAAATTAAAGGATTTTCAAGATTGCAGTGCTTCAATTACAGTAGAATTAAAAGATTGCGAAGCAAAAGAGAATAAGATCCTTCAAGAAATCAGTAAAAGTTGTCTGGAAGCAATCAATTGTATCAAAACGTCTCAAAGAAATATTGAGAAAGAGATACAAAACCAGATGCATTTACACAAAGAAAATCTGCAGCATGCATTTGATAATATCTCTAAACATTGTAAAAGTATCGAAGAGTCAATTACCTTTTCAAATAACATTTTAATGGACGGAAATGATTTTGAAGTTTTGCAGCTTATGGATGAAATTTATGAACGTGTCCTTAGTTTAAATGGATTGAACTGTACGGAAATGTGTCTGTCCAAAAATAAAGAACTACCAGAATACAAAATTACGTGGAAGGAACCCAAACTTCTAAGCTTCTCTTTGAAAACTTCTGGTGCCAAAACCTCAAGTATCCAAACTGAAGAAAAAGATTACGCATATGTAGAGCCAGTTATAGATGAATGCAGAGAGGAAAAGGAGGAAAATGATAAAATCACAGATCTCCCCTCTTCAGAACACATTTGTTGTCTCTTTCCTAGAGCGCGGTTTGAACCTCTCTCTGCTAGTGCGCCATATTTACCTCCCTCGATTAAAATTGCCAAGCAATGTGTACTTTCTTTTGTAAGAACACTTAAGTTTAATGTCAGCGATGACCAATGTACACCAGTTCATTCAAGTGTGACGTGGACTCGGGATGGTCGCGTTGTTGCTATTGACAAAATGAGTGAAAAAATGTTAAGCATAACATTGTCTACGGAAGTGAAAAAGTCAATTAAAATTCCCAAAATTCTTTCAGTTTCTGCAAATGCAGCTGGATTTGTTTGCAAAACTAGTGATGGCTATTTATTGAAACTTGATAGACAGTTTGCAGAAATAGGTAGATATGAAGGAGTGTCGACGATTGTGTCCACGTCGCCAAACAATAGATTAACGATATAGATGAATAAAAACAAAATATTCAAAGAAATCAACGGAAAGCTAACTTAAACTCAAATATACGATGAGAATGGCGACTTAACGTCACTTAGAACGCCCACTTACGCTTGCTCTCTGCCAAATGAAACAATTGTGGTTTCCGATTTCGATAAAAAGTGCGTTTATCTTATCAGTAACAGTGGTAAGATCTTGAAAGAGATATCTCATGACCCGGGGTCAATAAGTTGTGACGCTGATGGACATATCTATATCGCAAACTTTTTTACCCATACCATATCAAGATTTAATATCAACGGTACATTGTTGTCAACAATTGATATAAGAAAATGGCAGAAGGCCCCGAGATGTATCTCGGTTTTTAAAATCAAAATGCTTGTTGCTGGAGATCATGTAATTAACATGTACGATATGACATTTCAGTAATATCCATGTCCTAAACTCTCAATATACAAATATATATGGAACACTTCATAAATTCTATTTATTATTTGCACTTTAACATGCTTGAGAAACACTTCAGGACTACATATACTTGCTCAAAAATGAAACCCCAATGAAAAGGAATGACAGTGTAGAGTCTCCTTCCATTTTATTAAGGACAGATGAAACAAACAAATTTTTGTCAAAAATTTTAAAAATAACAACTTGGGTCATGTTTTAATGAATAAAATAAATAAAGATCTTTATTCGGTAATAACCGATATTTGTCCCCCAATCCAAACTTGATGGAGAAATATTTAATTATGTTCTTAAATAACTGGTATATACTGACTTCAACTCTCTGAATATTTTCATAAGTAATGACGTCATATGTACGAAATGACGTCACAAATATGACGTAAATTTCAGTTTTTTATGAATTCTACAGAAAAATGTACATATATTTCGTCGATATTTTGAGTAAAGGTCACCGAGTGCATGTGTGTTCAGGCTCAATATTTTGATATAATGTGTAGAATGATAATATCAATGAAATATGTAAATATTGTTCCTGAACAAACTTGCGCACTATGAATTTTAAAGCTAAGATTGTTGAAATTTTGTCCATTTTGTCCTCTTTCTGAAAAAGGATATAAAATCGGACTAGTTTGTGACGTCATGAAAACAAAAATTGTGAATAAACTACTTTGAAACAATAATATGCTCTGTTAATTTATATTTCTCATACAATTTATTGAATTCAGCACATTTCAGGAAGTTTTCAAAATTTGACTTTTGTGGGGGGCAAATATATACAATATACCGCATATAGTTCTATCACCTTCTAGTTTTTACGATTTTATTCAAAGCTGCACAAAAATGGAATTTGAAGTGAAAATATGCAGAAGAAAAAAAATATGACAAAAACATCACCAGATATTTAGTATTCAAGTGAAATTGGAGTTTAATAAGCGAAATCTTTTTGATCAAATCCCAAGGAAGTACAAAACATGGGACAAACAGTCATGGTAATAGTGGAAAAACCCTGCCACTGTACATGTAGACCGTCGATATTAGAATGCCTATATGAATACCTGAATGATAATGAAAATAACTTACAAAATTATCAAACAAATCTTCAGATGGTTCCATGTGTGTACAAGATTAGTTCCTCGATTGTTAATAGAGAAATAAAGGAGAATTCAAGAATGTGCATCAATGAAGTTCCTTCTTCCTTTTTTTAACCTTTTCTTAAGCAAAGTGTCAAATAATGACCTTGCGTAGAGAATAGTGATCCAAACTCCTCTTTGATGAATAACAGAAAATCTTTTCTACATTATAACTTTACATTTTTAATTTACAAAATATTATACAACAAAAGAATCTGGTTTGTGTGTGGTCCCCCGTGTCCCTCGAATATCGGTAGTCTTTTTTTTTCTAAACAGTGTTTGAGTTACACTACTGTCTCTTGCCGCTATGGAGGCTCAGACACCCCTCTCCAGGGCCGAGAAGGTTTACACTTCCCCCTCTTCAGTGCCGAGGAGATTACACGTTGGACTTGCGTTCAATGGGACCTCAGGGAAGCAGGGCCATACCATAAATTCTAAATAAAAGTTGTGTTGAAATACCCTCAGTGGTCTGCCATGTGTATAAGACAAATCAAATAGATCATTAGAAGTCTTGAAAACGTCTACCTGGACTGCCGTGTCCAAACTGAAGCACGGGCTTACAAATATTTTAAAGGTCCAGTGATTTGAGGTAAAAAAAATGGGGTAACATGAACCCGGTGAAAAATGGAGGCTCCCCACAGAGAACACCAAACACGTAACAAACGAATATCTGCTTAACGAACGGTAAACTTGTTTACTTTGTGATTACCTGTGTAACTGACGGAACGTAAGGACGAATCACACAAATAGAAAAATTAAAATTATTGTCAATTTGATAAGTATAATTGCTTTGGTGTTCCATGTACCAATATGATATAAATATATGCATATGTTCAGGTGTGTTTTTGTTGATTACTTTTAATTAATTTATAATAAATGAAAATTAATCCATATTTTATTAAAGAGTTGGCAGACCAGAGGGGGGTTCCGGGGGTTTGAACCCCCACGTATTTTTGTACAGAGAGAGAGAGAGAGAGAGGGATGGTTTTTCCGTAATAGATATTAAAACGTCTAATCATTTGAAAAATAAGAAAATTCGCTGTCCTTTCTGCTCGCTAGATCTACAGATTTTTGCGTATTTGCTTTCCTCCGTGTACCTTCACAACCCCGTCTAAGGGCTCCGAACATCCACAAATGACATGCAAGGAAGATTCCAGCGAACTTTAGCTATACCATTTTTGGACCATCTTCAGAAGGGGGCTCACTTTTTCTGTGAATAATCTTTTGCTGCAGTTTTAAATAATATTTTGTTTTGGAAGCTCCCTCCACATCTTTTGTTTCTGGAAAATACGCAGATTCAAGATTGAAAGTTATATACAGAACAGAACATATACAAAACAGTAAAGTGACACGAAGCCCCCCTTTACCCCCTCCTAACTTTAAAAAGTGGTTTATTGGGGTTTTTTTTGTTTTGTTCATGTTTTGGGGGTTTTTTTTTTGGTTTTTTGCTTGTCAAATGTTTTTAGAGCCCCCCTTCTTATAAATGAAGCTACGGACTTGAAGTGGCCATGGTGTGATTCTATGCATGAGTGTTGGGTACAACGACCTCGATCCCCACCTTTTTAAAAAATTGCTGGATCCGCCCATGTTGAAGGATGATCTTTGTTTATTACGATAATGTCTTATATATGGCACGCCAAATTCACAAAAATTAGCTAAACATAGTTTCACAGTCGATAAACTAGGTTTATTGGTTGTAAACTATAGTTACGGACTGTAAACTATAGTTAACAAGTTGAACCTTAATCTATATTTTACATCTGTAAACCATAGTTAACGCGATATTCTATGTTTCAGAACCGTAAACTATACTTAACACTGAAAACAATCATTTGTGGTTGCAAAACATAGATTATCTGATGAATACACTTTCACGATTTGTAAACTATAGTTAACAGCTCTTAACTATAGTTCACGATCTGATAAATATAGTTTCATGATTTGTGAAACTATGATTAACAACTCCTAACTATAGTTCACGATTGTAAATTATAGTTTACAGACGTGAATCTATGTTTATCAACAAAATCTATTGTTAACGTTTTCTTACAGACAGATAAACATAGATTAGCATCCGTAAACTATAGTTAACAACTGTTAAATATAGTTTTACATATGAAAACTATAGTTAGCGAATTGTTAACTATAGTTTACGGTTTTTAAACTATAGTTTACAGTTGATAAATCTAGTTTATCAAGTGTGAAACTATGTTTAGCTTATTTTTATGAATTTGGCGTGCCAAACTTATAGGTTGTAACAATTATCAATACGACGCTTTGCAAGAGCTGAGAACAATTTAATTAAGGTCAGACGATACGTTCCCCAAATTTCTGTTTTGTATATTTTCATAATGTATAAAAAATATACAAAATTTTAGTCACTTTCTGATTTCTAAACCTGTTTCTAATTGTTTTTAAAAAATTGAAACACTAAAAATTTGATTTCGGCAAACTATTTTTTTTTTACCTAAAGGATTATATAAGAAATGACATCATCTGGTATCTCGCACAAATGCCTGGTAAGGTACCTCAATTTTTTGTGAGTAAACATGTTAAAGTAGTATTTGTTCAATGACAAAGTCTTAGAAAAAATTACATATTATTGAGGAACGTCTCGTCTGTCCTTAACAATAGATGCAAGTTCCCATCTAGGGTGCCGATATAAGGAACCCGACATAAATATAATAAGCTGATATTAAATTGGTCTTTCATATTTTAACTGAATAGCGAGTGAAGAAATATGTACTAGCAGTTATAGACTGTTTAAATATTTATTCAGCGGCGGCATTTCAAAACGTGGGGGGAGGCAGTAGAAGACTGGGAAGTCTGGGGGCTTTGGTGCGGATCCAGGGGCGCGATCCAGGGGCGAAGCCCCCTGAAACTGAGGAACTCTATAACAAATTAGAAGTGTTTTCCTGTTGAATTTAACATAATGCAAACAAAATTAAAACATCTAATGGGGGAGGGGCGCACGCCCATCGCGCCAGTGCTGGATCCGCCTTTGAAATAATAACAAAATAAATATAAAGCGAGTGATGGTATTTATAAAGTAGTAATACGGCTAATATCGTCGAGATACGTTCGTTCGTTGCGTGTTTGGTGTTCTCTCACAGGTGAATACAATTACTTGCGTGTTCGATGAGGAGATTTTAATGTGACACAAAGAGGAAAGGTCCTTCAGATATTTTAACTTTATCATCCCTGTACCGTAAGGCAACAAACACATAACATAAAATCTCATAATTCGATCATTTATGCATATATCTTTTTTTTTTTTTTTGTTGAAATTTGCGATATATATCGATGAAAAATGTAGTGAAAGAGTGACTGTAGTGAAATATTTAGAACGCAGTAATGATTAGACAAATTGTCCATGAACTTTCCGGACAACCCTCGTTTATAGTCTTTATTTAG